AAATGTTTATTAGTGCTTCCTCAAGAGCATTATAAACATTGAATAGATGAAGTATTGGCAGGCCTAGTGAGATGAACACACCTTCTTCTTCATGAAATCTACCAGTTAATTTACAGTTACCACCAACCATTTAGGAAGCTCACTTACACAGGTGATATCATAAAGGGATGCTAACTCTCCTTAGCAGGAGTATTTAATAATGCTTTTGTCAGATCAAAGTGGTCTAGCCTACACAAATGGGAAAAAGCAGGGTACAATAGAAGGTTAGAAGGTTTGCACAAACGCAGCAGTTACAGCAAAAAAACTACTTATCTTTCAAAATCATCATTCCTGATTCGTTTTAAAGGATAAATAATGCTTTTGATTTTAATTGTGGGGACAAGTAGACGATGGATACAATCAAGTTTGTCAGTCATAAGGAATGGATGTTGTGATGGAAAGTATTGCCTATATCATGCAAAACAAGCAACTTTTTTACTTTCTCAATGGTTGGTTGGCACTAAAAGCAGATGCAAATTGAATAAGCTCATTCCTTAGCACTCGGGAGAAGTCGCATTGAACAGTACGTGATTTGTGACTGCAGAGTGATAGGCAGTTTCATCAACACGCCACAGCCGCCAGGACTGGAGGCTTTTAACGGCACTATTATATGAGCTCACAGCCTGCCAGTGATCACTTAATTATAGTCGGCCAATTTCAGGTGAATGCAAATCCGGGAGATCCACTCTTTGATAAGTCCCTTCTTATCCCACGGTTGTGTTCCAGCTTGGATATTTCTTGTTCAACATTAAGGGCAAAGTGAATCAGTTAGTGTCAAAATGCATTTTAGGGATTTTTTCCTTATTTTGTTAAAAGAACACTACTTAACCTCATTTCTTACATAACATTTGTCCGACTGGACGAGACGGTGCTATAAACGAAAGTAAAACCAACATTTGACATCGTCGTTTGTGATCTAGTGTGGTTTAAGGAGGCTAGTTCAGTAGTATTTCGAGTCTAACGTAGTAGTTAATAGATGCATAATTACCACTTTTGCCGTCAGGGTCTCCACACAATAAAAAGGTTTTAATGTTTCAATGTGCTGCCAACAGTCATTAATCCTCAGATCTTTTCCGTTGCGACAGGAGAATTGAGGGATGTAACTATCCTCTGGCTCATGACATTGGCCACATCCCTTTTCCCCTTTTACTCTCAACCAATTCGTTGACAGCACCACTTGGAGCAGCCGGTCATCGTGAGCGGCTGCACAGAGCTTCACGTGTTTAAGAAGGTTGAAAAATCTAGAACTCACACAAGGGGTTGCAAACACGGAATTGAAACGAATTCCTATTGTGAAAACGAAACCACCTATTTATAATTAAACTTCCTTCAACCACGACCTTTCAGAATTCCTCCTGCAATACCAGTTTTTTAATAGGATGATTTTGCATGTACCTCAGCCGGAGAATACCAGTAATGTTTCACAGATTGAATGGATAAACGTGATTTGGGTAATATACCTTCATACGCTCTCAAGAAAATTCATCTTTTTACCTCCATTCAAGCGCTACCTCTATCCTTCTCATGCCCGATTTACCACCGCATTTGCCACATATTTTGTCGTGTCGAGTGACAGTTACGGCTTGCCTCGATATAAAGCGTGAACGATTTCAAATCACTTCACCAGCTTTCTAAGTCAAAACAAAGTCTTCTGTGATTAACTCGAGATGTGTTGACAAAAGAGACATAGTATCGCAGTGATGAGGGAGAAGGTTCTTTTTACGCATGCAGTAGGTAAGAAATTAAGCCATCCACTCGTTGCTGTTCCTTGATGCCACATACCAGGAAGCATTCGATATGCTCGACCTCGGGCAAACACCGCCCTCCTACCATTGTTGCAAATGGTGTGCATCCAGGTGGGATGCTGGTGCGAAGTGAGTCACTGCCTCTGAGGTAATAAGCCTGCAAGCAACTCAACAATACTCTTTGTCAAGAACATTAACATAAACAAGAATTATCACAGCTATACCAGTATCGTTTTGGCGAAAAAGAACAAAATCCTTTTACCACAATACCCATATATATGCACATGTTTGAAGTTTCTTTGGAAATCTTGAAACGCAACTTGTTAATTTGCTTTCGTCTCTATGGATGGTTTTTATTTTAATTTCCCCTATTAAAGGAAAGATATGCCCTAATTTTCCTGCTTTTTAGAGAATCATTTCGGAAAATTTGGGTGAATGTACAATTGTTTGAAGTGGATGCCTGTAGTAAAACAAAGTCCGCATGGGTGACCAAGGTTCCGTGAATGCTCAGTGGCAATTGAAGTAGTGCCACATATTCCAGTTAAAGGTGGATTTAAGTAGTTTAGAAAATTCTTAAGTGCCTTTGTAAATCCAGTTTGAGTCAGCCATGTCCGAGATCAGAGTTCGACCGCCTTCTTCACTAACAATTCACATGGATTTGGCTGGCTGACTAACTGGCTGGCTAGGGACCTGATCTCTTTATACTGACACAATTGTCTAGAACACTGCGTCAATTTAAACGCAAGACTTTATTCATCCTCTTCCAGACTGATCCAGTTACATTGTGTTCCCCACCGAAACCAGGTCCCTACATGTGGTTATTTAAATTTGAATGCACTAATTGACTGTGGAATGGTAATCAGTCAGAGTAAGTGTAACAGTTTCTCTGTTGTGAATTTCCTTAGACACTGCTTTGAGGTTTGTGACCTTAAACAGCCTGAGATTCCAAGATTTGCGGTTCGTTTGTCCACCCCATCGTGTTGCTGTTGCCCTCCCTAAAACTTAATATGACATGTTTGTTCAATTGATCCGAGGGTCAGTAGGCTAGACTTGTGTAGACAGATAATGATTGTGCCTCGGTTAATACAAATCATTGAAATAAACCATTATTTAACACACCTATGGATTATTCAGGTAGGAACAGGCCTTTTGGCCATATGCAGGGGAATATAGTTCAAGGAGTAGAGATCGTACAAATTTTTCCATCTACTCCTTGAAATACTTATAAACTTCATAAACAAGCATTATATAGGAGAGAGTATTTCGCCACAGCCCATCTGGCCTGGTACGTTAGCTGTCAGCAAGTTCGCAATTCTGACAGTGCTTTTACTCACTCTACTCACAAAAGGGCTTTGCCACCTCAAATTGTGCCTGAATTTTTAAGTTTATTTAGCCATCCACTGGCTGAACTTAGACAGCAATGACTTATGTGTCGAGAAAATGGTTGCGAATGTCAGCGACAGAGGTGCAAGCCTAAAAATCACTGTGCTGCAGTTCTACCTCACGACTTATGTCGGGACTTACTTGTTTGGACTTACCGCATTCTTCCACAATGCAAGCAACTTTTGTCACCCACTACCACCGTTGACTGACATCCTAATTTATGGTGTCCGAGCTGACGCACGAAGTGTGTGTCGGGTGTTGGTAGAGGGACGTATTTGCCATTTACCACCAATGTAGCAGCATCCTAAATACCTAGGAAATTTTGAACTCGTCAGATACATTGAATGATCTAAATAGATGTTTCACAGCTCAAGAAGCCATGAATATTTCCTTGTCGCTTTTGACATGGCAACAGTATACATCTGGTGGCCTAACTTAGCCCTTCTCCTGACCGGTCAGCTATTCACGTCCAATAGCGGCAGTTCCTACAAGTTCACAGTGTACCTTAATCAGAGGTATGGATCTCAATGTTGGCTAATTCGTGGTAATGGCTACGATACTGCTCTTATTCTGATTCCAAAATTAACCCCTTGTAAATTTAAAGCCTCAGTTGAAGGGATAGACTGGATCACAAAGTTCCGTCCACGTAACTTTTGTTTTGGCTTATTTATGTATAGTCTAGTGCTTCTCTTCGGCTTGATGAAATCCACTGTTAACTATTTTTTTCCCGAAGATTCACCTAATTCCTTTGCGTTACTCTAAATACGATGTTAATGAGGAGAAATCGAATCGTTGGCTGTCAACATGGAAAAAGGAGTTCACGGGTGGTTTGGAGAATGGACAAACACCTAGCCATGAGCAGGCAGACGAGAGAGAAGTCGATTTAGGCTTCATTCTTTGTTAGTCGATTTGGAAAGTAACAAATACAACGCAATGTCCCAGTCAGTCAGTCAGGCAGTCGAAGCACAGGTAGTCAAGAAAAGGAAAGTAGGAGGGTGGTCAGGTGGACGAGCCTCTAACGTGCCAGAGAGCTTTACCAACACACCCATAAGAGGAGGAGGAGGAGTGATGAAAATTTCCTCCTCCGAAACGCTGGCATCAATCAGTATCAAATTTATTTGCCCACCTGTGTGTGTGAACCGGTACACTAGAGTGAAATCTCATTGGCAAAGAGATGAGAATGATTGTGATTTGGATCAGACATTGTCAAATTCAATGTGAGATTTTTTATGCACTTAATTTTCGGCAGTGCCCAGTTTGATGTCGTGGTGAAGCATTTGGATTTGGAGAAAGTAACATGGATAAGGAGCATACATTTGCATAGGAGTGCAAAAGTGATATTTTATTATAAGTTGACAAGGATACCATGAACCCTATGTTCATTATTCACATTAATTTCATTAGTGGCACCAATTGCTTCGAAGTTAAACAAATTTTACCACACGCACGCCAATTCGAAACAGGCTCAATTTATTCCTACTAACTGACACGACATTTAGAGGCCGGTGTATTGGTTGACAATGAACCTGTTTTTTCGTTGACCGTTTCGGTTAGGGGGTGAAATACTTTTAGAGTGCAGTGTGTTCTGAGGTGTTTAGTTACTGAGTGCAGTGGTGAGAGTGATAAAGCGAAAAGGCTGCAATTTTGGGCAAGTCGGCTATACTAAAAAGTGGTACTTGGGACTTGGCGAAGTGGCTTTAGCGCTGTGTCACACACCTGGCACTCACCACTGCTTATGTGCGTGGCAGGACAGCCTCTCAGTACACTACTGTAATCCTAATTCCACTGCCATCTTGCGGCACATTCCTTACTCCAGCGAATTTCGCCGTTGAGATGGAGTATAAAACTACACCACCTTGTCCTCGTGGAGACAGTTGCAATTTGTTTACTGTCGGCAGCAGTGTCTCACAAGAGGTTGCTGGTAAGAATCTTGGACATGTTGTGTGCAAATGGAAAGATGGGCAAATAAATGTCAAGTCCTTGCAGTTTATGTTATACTCCTCCTTCATCGCTCTACCATCATTTGTGTTGAATGCGTCACACATATTTCTGTCAGATACGGTTGATACAGAAGCATGGATAGAAATGAATGGACTGAAATGGGATAAAATAGAGGCGACCCAGGTTATTCTCAGTGCTAGAAATATCACAATTTATTATTCAAAAGAGACAAATGAAATGGAGTGGCTACCCCGTGGTCGAGTCTGTGCAACGCATGAGTGGCTTTAACTGCTTTCCACGAATATGACGATGGTAAGGAGATGTGCTGAGCGGTATGCTGATGCGACCTAGATGGTGGAATAGGCTGGAACCATTAATCGCAGTTTGGTGACGCGTCACTTATTGCATATGGGCTATTCATGTCTCTAGGCTTTCAATGAGGCTCATTGTCCTCTTTGCCTCTGGTCAAGTCCAGGAAGAAACCAAAGGCAAAATAAATTTTTTTTTAAGTAAATCTTCTAACTAGACATCCTAATACCTATTATACATGACAATAATTTCAAGCCCGAATATTTTGGCTGAATTTAATTTAGTTTCGCAACTAATGCTTGTTTAGTAATATTCAAATATTTCACTTTTAATTTAGTTTTTGCTTAAATTTTTCTGGTCCAAAACATTGTTTGGATCAATTCTTTACCTATGAAGTATTTTGCATTGGCTAGTGCCATTGCCATATTTTTGTGGTCATTGAAATCAATTTGCGATTGGTCGTTTTCCCTTTCTCCTTGTACACGAACTCATCCTTTACAGTGATCCTATTTTGGACAGTCTTTCAAGAGACTCCCCGTTATTACTTATGCAAAGTGCTGCTCGACAATCTATGCAACCTCTATAAATGCCTGACCATTACAGTTAATTTTTTGTTAAAATAATATTCACCTGATTATTTTAACACCTTTTTTAATCAATTTCTACAAGAAGACCTACTTCTTTAAATTATCTTTACGGTCTTTTTGCCACACCTTAGGTCTATATTAATTGCCTTATGAGGTATGCGGCTGGAAAAATTGCACAACCGACTTTTCTTGCCAAGAGAAAATGTTTCATCTGCAATCAGTTTTAATGCCATTCTCCTTTTTTTCGCATTCATCTGTTGCTCTGGAAGTAGACGAGCAATGGTGATGGAATTTCCAGATCGGTATTACTTCAAGAGGAGCAAAACACTGTGAGGAGAGGAGCCCGTTGATTTCACGGTGGCACGATTTTGAGGGACAAACATAACTGGCACTGAGAAGCAGCCACTTTCAAAATTTTGTTGAGCACTACTAAGGAACTTACCATTCTCTTCCAGATCAACCAGACATCACTAAATACACTCAAATTCCTCCAATTTTTAGCCGTTTTAAGCAAAGATGTGCACCTTAATGTCGGTCAATTCGAGGCAATTACTCCAAAAATGGTTGCATATTAATTCAAAAATTAGCCTCCAATAAATCAAAATCTCATCTGAATTGAAAGTTGAACACAATATAGTTCTGATTGCCATATTTGTCGGCGGATTTGTCCAATGTCCAGAGTTTATATTTGTTTTGCTGAAATCCGTTGTTACCTATTTCGTTTCCCAAATCGACACCAATTTCCCTTTCGGTGCTGTTAATGCAAGTTTAAAGTGGAAGAATAGAAAGGTTATTAACAAAAAGATGTTTGCCTGTAGTACGGATAATGAATTAAAACTCAGCTATAAGTAGACAGGTGGAAGAGGGGCGGGCTTAAATGTCATTTTCCATTAGTCGTTAAAGTGATCTTCACGCTTGATAGAAAAAGTGCATTAGACACAACGTGGTATCCCAGATAGGCAAGCAGACAAATGGGCAATCGGTCGGCTTCGCTTTGTCCTCCTACACAAACCTCGCCTTTGAGCGTTCTTAATTTATGCAAATTTACTAAAGAACTCTCCTTCACGCCTTATGTAAGGTGTTCCTGCTCCACATTTCATACAACCTCAGTAAAGACCTTAATCATTAACGTTGTACTTCTTTGCGATAATATTCGATAGTTACTTCAGCAGGTTTGAAATTAACTTTTGTAAAAAAATTAATAATTTCCTTTTTTCAAAAAAAATCAAAACTTCAACTTTTCTTTACATTCATTTTGCCACAACTCAGCACTACAGTAATTGTCCTCTCAGGACTGTAACTGGGTAATTTGCATTATGAGGAAACCATTTTTTCACTGTTTCTCAAATTGATGAATCCCGAAGATTAAACTTTGTCTTAGGAAAAGAAACTTTTTCTATTAACCAATTCAGCAAAATACTGCCTCATTTCGAATTCATCTTTACCCCTCGAAACGGACGTGGAACAGCGACGGGATTGTCAGATGGGTAGGATTACAAGGGACGGAGGAGACACCGTTACGATGGGTAACTGTTAAAATCCTAGCGACACGCTATTGCGGAAAAGATATAACTAAAGTCGAATAGCAGTCACAAGCCAAATTTTGTTAAAAACTACTAAAAAACACGCTGTCTTATTCCAGACCTACTAGATATCAGTAAATACATTCCAATTTTCCAATTTCCAACCACCTTCAATGAACCTGGTCTATTTTACCACAATGCTTCTGATCAAAACATTCAAAGCCGCGTAAATTATGCTGGAAAAATAGGTTTTGATGGCTCAGAGGAACATAAAAAAAGAACACAACTTTAAATACATTTATCTGCAGCTGTTAAAAGGTCAACGTTTGGCATTTTGCCCCTTCCTACCAAGGGATGTGAGTTTTGAATGCAAAGATTTTGTCACCCATCCAGTATTCTTATTGGGTGGTGAATATATGTTAAGAAGGTGCCTAAATTTGTGTTATTAAGGTACCCTCTTGTCAGGAATTAATACCGGCAACCTGACAATGAGTTTAAAACCCCAGTCGCATTTTCAAGCATGGCAAGCAGCTGGGTTTATCATGAGGTGGTGGCGATTCATTTTTTTATCACTTCTTTTACACCGTCATTTAGCCAGAAACTACTTTTTTTCACTAGCAATTAATTCCCCTAACAACTTTGGCATCCACAAATACTAGTTAAATAATAGTGGTGACTTCCACCACTAAATGGCTTCTCGGGCTCCACAAAACTGGACATCGTTGAACAGCAAAAAAGAAAAGATAATCTTACCAAATCATTCCTTTAGTGCGTGAGTTTGAACGTCTCCTGTTTGTTAGTATAAATCCTCTCACTGGAGAACCTGTTTGACAGCGATTAATTTGGCGGACAAGATATATAATTGAGTATAAAAATATAAACAGCTTTGCGATATAAACATTGCCTTTGTGCAAAAGAGATTCCGGTGGCTTACATTAGTATCGTTTGTGGGTAACATGTAGCCACTTTAAGAGGGGACTTTAAGTGACTGAGGCTGTGATTCTCCTCTGCTCTTCCATTCCTAATCGCTCCATCGAATGCTAGATCCTGTAACAATGCTCAAACAGAATATTCACATTGATATACTTTGTAAAATTATCAGAACAATCATTTCCCAAACTAAAAAGGTACAAATAGGCAACTTATTGCTTTCGATATGATTACCAAATGCCAATGGCAGTGAAATTTGAAGGCTTTTATGCGTGCATCTTAGTGCAATGCTTTCGTTGTTTGTTCAATCCTTGTTTTTTGCAACAAAGTACTGGGGCCTCCGTTAGGTGGTCTGACCTCCGAGCTATGCTAGTAGCCTACGAGACATTCACTGCTTCGACACTGCACATTCCGACCCAGCATTGCGTCATCGTATACCTTTAAGGAAGTTTCGGGACGCTATATTTGAGCATTCCCACTGGGACGGAAGTTGTTTGTGAGCACATTGCAAATTCTTTGGTAAAGAGAGTCACATAATGCAAAAAACAAAATAAAAAAAGATCCAATTCTCTCAGGCATAAATGAAAATAGAAGGTAGGTTTGAGTTAGACCACTTGACATTCCTTTCCTTATCACAATTCCCACATCCCTAAGTGGAAGGGGGCACATTAAATACACAGGGACAAAATCACTTGTCAATCGCGCAGAAGGGGAAGATTATCTTGAACAAAATTAAACGAATAAAGTTGTTTTTTACTCCTCGACTCTACATTGCAACAGCTTACAACAATTGGCTCAGCTTCAGGCCTAATGGGCATGTTGTTTCCCTCGGACATAAATCCACCTCAACCACTCAACCGGTCGTTGAAACGTGCCACTTTACAGTCCAGTTAAATAAATAATTAATGCTAAAATTAAAAGGCTATGGTGTGAGCTTTTCAATTAAGTTTTATGGATTTACGTTTTGTCATAAATCAAGCGTAATTTCTACTCATTGCAAACAAAGGGACTCTAATGTCTGAAGATGAAATCGGAAAGTAGTTGATGGGGTTGCAGTAGAGTTTGCCATTTAACAACTTATTTTTACTTGGTTTACTATCATCATTATCTCCTCTACATCCTGTCTTATCGGGAGCAAACATTGTACTGTTTCTTTTTACGAATCCTTTTCTCCCTAACCTTGATGGGGCGATTTCTTCAATTTAGATAGCATGTTTAATAGATGAGACCATAACTGGATACTGCCTGCTGTTTTCATCAAGACTATGTGCATTTTGCATTTCTAACTAGTAACTTCTTACGGGACTTCACTTTCTTCATGAGTGAGATTTTGCGGTATACCGAAACTTTTCATGTCGGCGCGAATTATTTTCAGCATTGAGGATTTCGAGAAAAAATCGCTCGACATTTGGATATCGCGCTAGCCTTCAGTGCCGTCTCGACTTCCTCCCTTTCTGAATCAGCACGTCAGTTAGCAAGCCAGACTTGAATTGACGAGCAGAGTTGGTGTCTGTTGCAGTGATCATCGGAATGATACAGCTTGGAAAGTAGGGTAGTTGATTTTGGGGGAGATGAATGTTTCGGCAGAAAGTGTATATCCAAATTCTATTGCAGCTTATTAGCACCTTTAAGGCAAATGGAAGTGCAAGCTCTTTCACTATCTCTACTATGCAAATTATGTTGACATTAACTGCCTCTGTTCAAATTTTGAATATGTTTTAATAATAAATACCAATAATTGAAATAAGTAAACTTAACGGTAGTCGTTTGAATTGCACTGCATCCTTGTTTTGCTCTTTGTTTTATCTACGCAAACACTTAAGGGCCACCTTTATACTTCCACTCTGCAGCATGACCCAGGGCGTGTGCAAGTGTCTCCCCCGTCTTCTCTATTTCGGTAAGACATTTCCTGTCCCAGTAAAGTTTGGTCTGTTGGGATTCGTTAGAGTGAGTGGTGCACATTAAGTCAACAGTTAAATTTCGGTCAACGGTAGTGTATTGTACACCTGCTCTACCAATCCCAGAAGTAGCGATGGGCGTCGGGTGTGAGCGATAGAGCACTGAAGACACGACATCGAAATGGCAAATTACAAGTGCCATACCTCGAGTCACCAACTTGCCCACCATTGTAATCCTCCCACCCCAACACTCCCACCACCGCATTCTGTTGGCACTGGCCTTCAGAAATATGTCCTGCCCCGATTGAATTGGTCAGTAGCAGTAAATCGAGCATACCCCTCACTGCTGCGCTACTGGAGGAAATGGCTTTAAGTCGAAGAACTTAATGCCTTAAATTAGGACAATGTGCTCCATGCGTCCAGCAGTAGAGGCAGCAGTATTAACTCAAGGTTGAAGCACAACTAGTAGGCAACTGTAACCTCTGCGAATAGACCCTCCTTAGTAATATTGCATTCACTAGAAACAAGGGATTCACCACGAAATCAAAACAAATATAGCATCTCGCGTACTATATACTAGCATCTGAGCCAAGTCACAACGATTCCCATTTCTTCGTCTATGCGGTTTGGCATGGAAGGTAAAACTTGATGGAAACAAAATAATTGGAGCAAAAAGCAGTCTCGCTCAGTCTAACTCCACTCAAAGGCTTTAAAGGAAGCAACGCTATCGAAATGGAGGAAGAATTAACCAGAAGTATTAGAGCAAGTTAACGGGATTTAGACAACTTGTGGTCGAGACTTTAAAAGCGGTTAATTCCTTGATGGGGTTTTAGCGGTTTTGAAGATTTATTTTAGATGAAAAAATTAACATTTACAAATCGATAGGAACTAACAGGTGTCTTTCAATTTCCTTCCTTTGCGTAAAAGCATACTAGTTTAAAAAACAGTTTTAACTTGGATTTTACTACAATCAGCAAGTGACAAAGTAGTGCCATTCATAAAGTCATGAAATAGGCGAAGTATTGGCAGGTTTAGTGAGATAAAAACGCTTTTTTCTGTGCAAAAACCTACCTAAAAGCTCATAATTATTGCGTAGTTAGTACCAGCAATTTTTGGAGGCTTTCTCACTTGAATGGTGTCTCATAGTGATGCTAAATTCGCTTAGCGGACGTAATTAATAATGCTTTTATCAAATCAACATGGTCTAAGCCACAAAAAAAGAGAAGAAAGCCGGATACAATAACAGGTTCGAAGGTTTGCATAAAGTTAGTAGTTACAACAAAAAAAACTAATTAACTTTGAAATACATCATTTCGGACCCTTTTTATGGGGTTTATGGTGTATTTGATTTCAACTTTGAAGACAAGCAGACTATGGGTACGATTACGCCTCTTTCCTGTCCAAAAAACGACTGTCAACTTCATGCGAAACAAGCACCTGTCATACACTACCAGACTACATGCAATTTTCTTGGGTGGACAAAAGTGGGTTGGCATTAACA